ATGGTCGAGCCAAAAGGTTCAATAGGACTATACAAGAAAAAGCTGGTACCATTTGACACCATGCTTGTGTTCCAAAACACTTTTGGAACTTTGCTTTCGATTGTGCACTTCATGTGTACAACAGAACTCCTTTAAAAAGGATTCTATTCAAAACTCCGGTCGAACTGTTTTTAGGAAAAGTCCCAGATATCACCTATTTCCACACCTTTGGCTGCAAAGCCTTTGTATGGGTTCCTAAAGAACAACAAAAAGATAAACTGGAACCTCATGCAGTCGAAATGATTTTTCTAGGCTACGAGCCTAACACAAAAGGATATCAGTTCCTATATGGACAAAAGATTATTCTTTCTCGCACTGCAAAAATTCGTAGAAGACTCTTTTCCTTTCTGCTCTGGTCAGAAATCAAAATCTGATACCTTTGACCCCGATACCGAAGACGACCATAAATCATCTGTTTCCGATTCTGAAAGCCTTCATTCACTTCCAGATCCTGATCAGATCCAACCGCCGACTCATCACCAGCAACCACCTCGTCCTAATACTCCTCCACAACCACAAAACCCACAGCAGAGAGCTGCAGACCAGCCTAGAGCTCAACAACAAAGAAGAGCACCTGCTGCTGCACCACCAGTCGACCCTCGTCATATACAGCACCCACATGAACCTGAATTTATTCAAGGAGACTCACATAATGTTCGCAGAGCTCAACCACCTGCCGGTGACAGAGAACCTCGTCCTAAATGTCGATTTATACCTGTATCTCGTCCTGGAAACATTTATGGAGATAGACCTCCAGTCCAAATTGAATGAGACATACAACAAAATCGGGATCAAGCACAACAGTGGATTTGTAATGCTGAGCAGCATGCTCACAATTCCAGAGAAGATATTTGGAGATATGCAGAAGAGTGCAGACCTCCTTCTCCAAGGTTACCTCCTGCTCTAATTCCTCCTGAAGTTCCTAGACAGTGGACTGAACATCCACAAGGAACTACTCCTCCATCTCCTGGATCTCCACTTACTCCAGTTCTGTATACTCCTGACTTTCCAAAAGGCATGCCAGATCAACAACTTGAAATGCATCCCTTTGAGTTTGCATTGGCTGCTTGAGTCAAGGAATCTCCAGAACATTATAAAGACGTGTTAAAATTGTCTCCCGATTTACAAAAGAAATGGTTCAATGCAATGAAGGACAAATTAAAATCTATTGAAGAAAGACATGTTTGGACTTTGGTGGATCCTCCTAGAGATCGGAAACCTGTAAAGTGTCGATGGGTTTTCACTATCAAAAGCGATGGTCGTTATAAAGCTCGTCTTGTGGCAAAAGGCTTCACACAAGAATTTGGTACCAACTTTGAAGATACCTTCTCTCCAGTGGCTCAATTCGAAACTGTTCGAATCATACTTGCTTTCGCTGCCCAAAGAAATTGGGACACAGAAGCCCTGGATGTAAAAACTGCCTTCTTATATGGCAATCTTGATGAAGAAATTTACATGGAGCAACCTGAAGGTTTCAAAGTTCTGGGTCAAGAACACAAGGTTTATCGGTTGCTTAGAGCCTTGTATGGCTTAAAGCAAGCTGTGTTGGCATGGAATAAAGCCCTTCATCAATCTCTACTTCAAATGGGCTATATCTGATCAAAAGTGGATGCTGGAATATACATCCATATATCCAAAGCAGGAATTGTCATTTTCCTTGTCTATGTCGATGATGGACTCTTTCTAGGTTCGGACAAATGTCTTCTTAAAGCCAAGAAAGAACAATTCATGAAGAAATGGGAATCCCGAGATCTTGGTGAAGTCAAGGAATACCTTGGCATTCAAATTCACCAAGATAGGTCGAAGAAAGAAATATATCTTGACCAGATACCTTATGTCAAGAAGGTTATCAAACAGTTTAATATGGAGACTGCTCGAAATGTTCACACTCCATTACCCTTGGGATATCAACTGGAAAAAGCATCATCAGACTATCAAGCCACATCTTCTCTTCGGTCACAGTACCAGTCAATCATAGGATCATTACTCTATATGGCTCTTGGTACTTGTCCTGATATTGCCTTTGCGGTTATTTGCATGTCACAATATATGGCAAATCCTACTGAAGATCACCGAAATAAAGCCTTGCATATAGTTCGCTATATTGCATCTACTCCAAAATTGGCTTTATACTATTCGGGACTTGAATCTTGAATTTATGGCTTCGCAGACTCTGATTGGGCTTCTAATAAAGACACACATCATTCTACCACTGGTTATGCCATGTACCTTGGCAATTCCCTCATTTCTTGGCGGTCTCGCAAACAGAAGACAATCGCACTTTCCTCCACTGAAGCTGAATATATGGCTTTATGCAATGCTACCAGACAAATCAAATGGCTTTCTATGCTATTTGAAGAACTTAAACTCAAGACCGAGAAAACAATTCTCTACTGCGATAATATGGGAGCTCACTTTATAGCTGAGAATCCTGTATTGGACGGTTGTTCAAAGCATATCGACATCCAATGGCACTTCGTTCGCGAATGTGTTCAAGATAATTTATTCAGTATTGAATACGTTCAAACTGATAAACAAAAAGCAGATGGTCTTACAAAATCTTTAATGTGGCAGAAGTTCAAAACTAATTGCTCGTCAATGGGTCTTGTGACTTTACCATTTTAGAGTGAGGGGGAGTGTTGGAAATATCTGAATAGTTCTGACATCTAGACTAACATGTGTATCAACACATTGTTTGTCACATGACATTCCTTAGCAATCAGCTCCACAATGATGTCATATTATACATCATATTCCATGACCTTCCATGCTATTCTTTACTATACTGAGTAGTAGTTTCCTTTTACACTACTGGTCCATGCGTACCTACTCATGTATATAAACTCGGGGATTTCTCCCTTAGTCCCCATTGAATTTTACATTCATTCTTCACTTGTCTACTCGACAACTGAGCCCCTCAAACAACTTACTCAAAAGCTACTACCATTCTAACTAAAAGGCAAGTGTTCTTGCCCATTGCACTTCATTTCTCCTGTTCCTCTGCGCAATACTCATCAGTCACCAATTGTGTGAGCATGTAGGTGCCACCTGCATTGTTGAATGTGATGCTGTTGTTATTGATCACACTCCCATGGTCCATTTTGTTGTCCAGCACCTGTGAGTTCACCCTCTTGCTGTCCCCTGCACTGTTAACCATAGCTTGCATGGCCATCTTCCACTGTTCAACTTGAAGGCGCTCATTTCCTATTGCAAGCCAGTAACAATATGTTTCTGACAACTGTGTTGCACCTTTTGCACTGAAGATTCAATACTGCAGTGCTATGGCAATAGCTTCTTTAGCATGCACCTGTTCTTGAGGAGAAAGTTGGTCACATTTGAACATTGCCAGATCTGCCTCTGACAGAGTTGCTGTCCAGTCTTTGGATTCTGTCCCATGCTCAGATGCATTGTCAAGAGCCTCTGTCATTTGACAATCTTGTACCAGCAGCATGTGTTGTGCTGCCTTGTCATCAACTGTTGCAGTCTCACATGCCATTTTGGAGTCATAGTAGTATTGCAAACCAGCCAACACATGCCTGACCTTGATGCCTCCATGTGATCATAAGCAACTGACCATTCCTCACCATTGCTCTTCAGATCCACAGTTGATTGCCATGGCTTCAACAAAGCCAACATGCAAGCACAGTAGAAATTATATGTCCTGCTGTCATCCTGACACAGCAGCCATGGCCCTAGAATTTGTGGAAGCATATTATGTCCTTTGGCACAACAAACTTGTCAATGTGTTTTGGCTTTTGGGTGGTTGTCTTGGTATGTAGAGCACATGTGTGGTGGTTGACCCCTTGTGGCAGATTTTCAACCCTTCTCCTTGTCACTGGGTGTGTATTGTTCCTCCCATGTATCACAGACAAATGACAAAAGTGACAGATCCTCCAATTCTGGACCACACTGTAGATAGTCCTGCATTTGTGTGCAAGTGTATAACTCCCCTCTCCCACTACAAAGCAAAGTAACAATGTCATTATTGTCTTCACCATCTGTGTGTTTGACATCCTGACTCATGGAATGGTAGGCATACCTGACCATTATCATAGTGGGTCAACACTCCCACTCATGTGCACCCCACCACAAAGAAGCTCACCTCTCTGTCATGCCTTCACAGAATTCAGGATACATCTGCTTCATTGTACTAAATAATGGGCCTGTGTACAATAGTGTGTAATTGTGGGAAGTGAATGTATCACCATATCCTGTCAGGTATGACATCACTTGTGGACCTGAAAGTTCTGCTTCATGGTTGATGACATTGATACACCAATATAGAAACAGGCAGTTCCATTCACACACATCATCATATTTCAGGTTGTCTATATGGTATGGCAGAGTGGTGGCCATCAATGCCAAAAGGTTGTGACTTTTTTTCTGTTTTTTGGTGGTGTAGGCAGTGATATAGAATGCCACATCTTTAGTATCCACACTGTTGGTGTTGATTTTTAAGTTGTTGTTGCACCACATTGTCATGAGTAACATCAAACAGTATGTGTTGATATACCCATTCATTTGCCAAGGCCCCCAATTCCCACACTCATCCATGAAGTCATCATTGCTCAGTGGCAATGGCACTCTTCTTTTGCATACTAGGCTGTCCTGCTGCATGTGTAGGCAAGTTGCTCTTGTGCATGTACATCAGTAAATCACATTGAGCTGTGGAGCTCTCCATAGTCCTCCATAATACACAGAGTCCCCTAGCTAGGTCCAGGCTGGACAGATGCACCCAACAACACTTTTTGCTATGGCTAGTTGCCTGTTACTATGGAATGGTCACATTGTCATGGAACTTTGTCCAGTATCTTACTTACTATGGATTGCTATGGAACTTTCATGCTTAGATATCACTGTACAAAACTGGCCAGACTGTACTCTCCTTGGGGTGTTGTCCAGTACTCTCCATCTCAATGTTTACTTTGCAAACATGTGATCACTCCACAACTAGGAACAGTTCACAGCAGGTATGACAGGAACAGGAGCATTGGCATCAATTGCATACTATGTGTAATGACAGGTATGACAGGACTAGATATTATGAAATCAATCAAGGACTGCCTGAACGTGCTGGTACCTTTCTACATTCAAATCAACCTCTTGCAGTGCAGCCCTGATATGAGGAGTCAGCACAAGCATGTTGGCCATCCCAGTACTTACCATCCTTCCTTCACCCACTGAGAAAGCTGATCATGCAACCTCACGCCATGATAGGGATTATGAAGGATGTTGTTCAGCACCTTCATCATGCCATGGAAAATGGAAATGTAAGCCTTGCCAGAGAATTGAGGCATCATCTTTCCTGTGCCATTCTTTGCAAATCTGTCCAACACACAATGATACTGTGAGAAAAGTTTGAGTTGCAGTGACTCAGGGTGTAAAATAACTCACCACAGCTGTGACGAGAGCCAGACAGGAAAGGGGAACTGAATTGTTGAAGGACTCAGGATGCTGATCCACAATTTGATAGGTCCTGGTATAGTAGAATTGTATGACAGCTTCCTTGAGGGCAGGGTGAGTGAAATTCCTGGTTTTTCCCTGATAAACCAATCTGTTAGTAGTGCAGACAACAAACCATGTGAATGTACATTCTCATCAAAACTGTCTTGCAGGAAAAGCGAGTTGTCAAGGAGCTTTGTGGCAGTGGTCTCTATCCATTGTACACAAACCCATGGTGCAACATCAGAAGGAGGGATAAGGTTGAATGTGGATGGCATGGTTGCCAGTGTAACTGACTTCAATTCTGAATGCCAGGTAGATATATCACCAAGGAGCTACTGGCAGTATGTCAGTAGCTGTAACTGAAAGATGGGACTACTTATGAGGCACACCATATCTTGCTTGTGGTCAGGCCAGTAACCTATAAAGTTAGGATAATGAGACATGTATAAAGCGAAAATATTGTTACTCACCATCTTCAAATTGCACACTGTGTTGATTCCACTCAACAATGACAGTGACAAGCACCTCTGTTATGGAGAGGTTGAAGTCATGAGATTTTGATGGGAATGGGTTAGAAAGTGCATGTGCAGCCCTGCATTCTTGCTTAGCATCTTTGAGACAGTCCTTCCATACTGCCTTGTAAAATCTCAGTTGTGAAGGCTATGGGCCCTCATCCTTAGCTTTCTTGGAGTTATGAGGGGCTCTGGTGCACTGAGATACTTCGTTGACTGAGTCATGCGCAAGGGTCAGAAGATCACAATTGGGAACAGAAGGATGGCCATTAGTGCGATGGTGGCATTCAAAAATGTCGACAACAATGCCATGTTGGGAACCCTAAAATAACAATCTGAATAAATAAAGCTAGCAGGAATGGCATTTTTGTACCTCTGGCTGAGCCTTGTCCTTGGATTGTAAGCTTCACAGAGCCACATCATCATCCTTGTTGCATGAGTACTGAAACTCATGGTCAGGGGGTAAGGAATTGTGGTGAATAGGATTGCTTGTCATCGTTTCTTGGGAGAAGCCTAACAAAGAATGTTGAGCCAATACCATAATAACCTCTGACACATACCAGGATGAGTTGATTGCCTAAGATTCATTGCACCCCATCCAAATGCATTGTCCTCATCTTTGTCAGACTCATCGCCAGAGACCTTGCCAGCCTCTGTGTCCAATGGGTTATTACTCGAGGACTCTGACTCCTCTTCTGAGGAGCCCTCTGATGACAGCTTCTCTGAACTCTTGTGGCGAACATCAGTGGTTGCTAAAGTTTGTCTTGATGAGAGCAAGCTATCAAGAGAGGGGTTGATACAAGAGTCGGGGATGGTAGCAGGCAGCTGGTGGGGGATAAAGTAGCAGGTGGCTGGTGGGGGATAAACTAAGACTGGTAGTTGGGCTGGGGTGTTGGCAGATGAGATGTATTACTGGGAACTTGGTCTCCCCAAATCGTGGTGGTATAAGGGTTATTGAGCACTTGAAGGTCAGGTTCCATCCCAGGAGGCATGATATGACCTGGCTGTTGAGCCAGAACACTGAAACCAAAGTGATGGGAGTCTGTGGGGTGCTGATGGAAGACAGGTGTTGCTACCGCTGTTGGAGACTGAGGGATGGGATTCTGAAATGAACATTGTATATCAGTATGAAAAGACACTCACTGGAGGCATATCAGCTGGGCTAGGACCATTCACAATGGGAGGTGCATAGGGTGGTGGGGCAACATTGGACTTTGCAAGCAGTTAGCTTGATATTTGCAAATAACTAGAACTGACCTTCAGTTTTGCATCCTAGCCAGCACTGCAGCCCCCACCCTTTTTCTGCTGAGTGGGTGGAGGTGCAAGAGGATTTACAACAGAATTGTTGGGGAGATCTGTCAACTTTCTCATGAGGCACTTCTCCTCCTCAATGTAGTGTGCACACAATGCAAAGTCTTTCATGCAGAACAAGCTCTGGCTGCATGCATCGCCCATGAATACAAATCAATGGCCAAGTTGTACAAGTACAAGGTGGGCAGCAGTGAGGCAAGAGTCCATGAAAAAGATATGGAGGTCAGCTCATTATGTGTAGCAATGAAAAAATGTGGACTGGGGGAGCCTATTTTCAATGTTAGCATTCTGGCTGGTGAGCTGCAACCATCTCTCAAGTCTGATGGTATGCTATGCTTGCTCTTTTCTGTTGGGCCACTACTTTACTTATGCCAGATCTTGATAGGCACAGTTATTGAGCATGCTGGTAGTTGAATACTTGCCATTCATCTAGACTAGTACTATCCATTACTTTCCTGTACTTATTGAAAAATGCTGAATGTTATGTCTGTGTGTTGTTGCCTTCATGCATAGGAACAAAGTTAGATCTACCAAGTTCTCTACTACAGTGGGAATCTAGGTTGCTGTATTAGCTAGGTGTGTCTGTTCCCTTGTATGCTAGGTAGCTATGGGTCTTTGGATTGCTGGTATCACTGGTGTGGCTTACTCAGGTGCTATGAGTTGCTTGGATGCTGGCCACTACTTTGGGCAAGTCTGGTGTAGTCTACTCTGGCACTATGAGTTGCTAAGATGCTTGACATTGCTTTGGACTAATATGGAATTGTGCAAATACTATGGGCAGCTATGAGTTACTAACACATTTTTGTGTTTTGCTGATGTATGGAGTTGCTGAGACATTACCAGTCGTCATTCAAGAGCATGAGTTCTTTCTTCCCAGCCTGAAGTGCATGGGTCATGGGGATGTGAATATGCTAGTTGATTATCTCTTGGCATCTTCAACAGGTCTTGTTTGGTGAGGTCATCCAAATGGGTGTGTATATTAGCCCAAATGTAGTTTTGAATGACATCACAAAATGATTCCTGTTGCAATAATGCCTGCATGTCATTTGGGTTAGGCATGTTCACCAGCCAGAGCAGCATGTGCACATGCAAGGTGCCTTTCCCTTGTACTTCCATTACTCTGAAGTATGCAGCTACTTGCCTGAGCATGCCCACTTCAGACAATGTATGGTTGCTGTGATTATGGATGCCAAACAGAGTTTCCAAAACAGTGTGAATAATTTGATGAAAATACTGCACAGTGGCATAAGGGTTGATCACAATGTTCTCTGCATGCTGATTACTATCAGATCCCAACTGTGAGTTGAAATGGTTGAGATCTATGTTTTTGCCTACAAAGACCTGTGCAATCAGATCATGGAGGTTGACAGGATTAATAGTCAACCAAAGTGAAGGCCCCCCAAGTAACAGACATGTCCCCTGTATCATACTGCAATAACTTGCATGTGCATTATTAGATCCAAGCACACATCCATTGGCTGCTGTGACATGATGTGATGCAGTGCCTGCACCCATGCATTACTGATCAGTTGGTGCTGTGCCTCTTCAGCTGCAGTGGTCTTGAGGTCTGCCACTGTGATTGATGATAATGCAAAAGTGCCACATTCAAAGTCCTTCCTCCTCATTTGAAGATGTGCAGAGCACATCATCTCTTGCTTCTGCATAAGTGCAAAGACCATGAATGGAAATGTGTGGGGTGCAGCAAATTGGAAATCATGGTAGGTACTGCAGGGCCCATTTAAAATGTTCCTGCAGACTGGTTTCCACAGGGTGATCTGCCTTGATAGTGCCTGTCCCATAAGGAAAGAGCATGGGGAATGCTGCTCCAAGAGGGTTCTGTGTGGCAGCCAAGTTCAATGGGGATGTAAAATCTCTGATTGGTGTGATGCCATGGTGCACAACATATCCACCCTCCTGTGTCTGATTGTTGAAATTGGCTAGTGCTTGGGCCCTCAACTCCATTGTCAAGACCTTTGTCTGATCCATATCTGCCATGCCAAGCACATGCAAGGGCAACATGTCCCCATCATCTGTCATCATCTTGATCACTGGGGTTATTCCATTCACAGCATTGAAGACATACCATCATGTTCATCATCATGTCATGGTTCTTCACTCTCATCTTGCATTGTTGGAATGTCCTCAGGTGTTGGAGATATATTCTCCCCTGTCTTCTCACTTACTTCGGTGTGATGTTTGGCTGCTTACATAAGCCATTAGAGCGCACTTACTACACAGTCATTACACTGTTCCCTCAGTAGATTGTTCACTACTGAGGTTGCCTACAGCACCCTTTTTCTATATCAGGTACCTCAATTTCTGTTGAAAGTGACATCTCAGCTTCAAATGTGATGACATTAATGACTTGCAGCACTTCACCTTCATCCTGCACCAGCTTGTTCATGGTGTAACCCTCTCTTTTGTGAAGAGCTGCCTCTTTGCTATCCTGATAGTGAATCATTGCCTCTATTTCCCCAGGTATGCCATCTTTTGGAAGTGTGAGCATATGTTCATGGGATATCTTAATGTCATCATAGTGAAGAAGTTTGTGGGGTTGCAGAGGGAAACCCAAAGAAGAATCTGTAGGGAACCTCAGTAGTCTGTCAAGCTACTGAGGGACTAGGTAAATTTTACTAGTGTATGGGTGTGCTCTAACAGCTTATGTAAGCAACACAATCATGTGCCTAAGTCCAAGTATGGACAGGGGTCATTTCACTCCAACATATAGTTCACATTATTTTCTTGCAACCATTTCAGGGCTTCATACACAACATACCATTGCACTTGAAAGGTCTGCAATAGCCAATCAGTCAGCACTTGTTTCATTCCAATAAATGTGATCACCAGTATGCTGCTCAAGGTCTGGACTGTCTGTGGCATCAATGTGCCTTCAAGCATGTCCACTACAGTGGTGGTGTTGATCTCATATAATGTCACATTGCCAGCCATAGCTTGTTGAAGATGCTGTCGTTTTTGTGTGACCCCCATCCCTGGGATATAACTTGAAGACATAACACTGCACATAATGTACCTACATTGTACCATATGACAGGGCCAGCAGAGGCTGACAATTGGCTGTGTCCCATGGGCCAGTGGAGGTTGAGCCCTACATTGAGTCATCCCCCTGCTGTATGGACCAACCCAGCTTCTATTATCAAATAACACATGAGTAGGCCACAATCAAATTGTCCCTGTAGTACCTGGAGTAGCCTAGTGTGAGATGTCACCTATCCAGTGGCATGCTGCAGCATGTGTAGATCAGCACTGGAAGTTGGCACAAGACCTCAGCATGCTTTGGGATAGCTCAGCAGTGCAGCACCTTGTATTTGGAAGCAGTAGCATCTGACAGATATGGCATTCCACATTATGGCACATTGCAGCATGCAGCATAATTCATGGGGAAGTTGTGGCAACATGTACCACAGCACCTGGTGGCACCTGCTCCAGGAGTCTCTGGAGGGTTGCAGCAGCCAGCAGATATTGCTCAGCACATGCTGGAAATGTGGCAGCAGCTGGCAGCATGGGCATGGCAAACAGTGGTAAACACCTGACTGCCTTAGGATCCACATCAAGGTTTGATGTGTGGCATGGATGGTTCTGCATACAGCAGCACACAGTTAGATGCAGAAGAATAAACTGGCAGTTCTTAGCAGCTGATGGCATTGACCAAACATACCACAGCACACATCTGGATTGAGTAGGATTCATGTCAGCACATGGCATCCAGCACAGATAGTTCTGTATATGGCAGCACACAGCTAGGGTACTATAGATATGGACATGCAGCATAGCACAAATTGTTGGTATACTGCATATCTTACCACCAGTATAAGATCATAACCTATACTTCATATGATCACAGAATGGTGGCTAGTAATATTGCATTGATTTCATAGATTTCATTCAAACTGGGATTGTGCTGATCAAATACTGGATGCCTGGGGCATTAAATAAGGACCAATACAATACAATGCAGGGTGCCATGGGTGCATTACATGCCTGTGAGAGCCTGCCACACCAATGGAACATGCATCCAATCACTTCAAGGGACTCCAAGCCAGTTGTGAATATTGTCCTGCATGTAAAATGCTAGTGAGCAATGGTTGCCACTCACATCATTCACACCATGCTGCAAAAGCTGGCCAGAAAAGGCTACAACAGTGCCTGGCCAGTAATCAAATTGAAGACCAAGAGAGGGAATGTCAAGAATGCATTCAGAATAATTGCCAACCAGTTAGCAATCATGGAGATGTTGGTGTAAACCATTGGCTAGTGTTGGAGGACTGCTGACATTTTGGGATCATTCATGGCAGACCACTCAGTCAGCTGCTGCATGGCTTGGTGACTGGCATTGTACAAAGGAGGGTGCATAATTGAAAGTGTAGCAGAGAGAATTGCCAATGGCATTTGGACAGTATGGATCCATTGCTGAGTGGCCAGAGCTGCAAGGTTGGCAGATATGGAAGGCTGGTGTGCCAGTGTCTACAACATTAGCAATGAGTATTTTGAGATGAAGCACAAGGATGACCCTCATGGCATGACCAAGTTGATGCCAGGCTGGTGAAATCTCTAAGCAGCCCACTGGCAAATGGTGATCCACCAGAAAGTAATTGGGTGATGTTCACCAGGAACCATGGGATATGCTTTGAGTCAACATATTGGAAAGTGGGGGAATAGCTCCCATCATCTGGTCCTTGATAGGGTTGTGAACTGAGGACAGCAGGATACATCACAATGCCTACCTGCATTGATTGTGACATTGCACTGGGTAGATACCATAAAGCAATTGCATCCCCTTCACCCAGAATGATTGCAGGAACATCCAAATACCCACTCAGATATGGTGGGTGAGCAGAAAGGATGTGGGCCTCCTGGTTCAAATTGAAACCTGTTTCTCAAGGCAATAAGCTTTCCAACAGCCTGATTAATTCAATGCCAGAGGGAACTGCAATAAATGTTAGCAGGACACACAGCAGCTCTCTTAAAACAGCATATGGGGATTATGATAGGCCTGGGCCAGTGTTGCTGCCATTTGATTGAGCACAATCCATGTCTGCATCTTGAGTTCAAGAGGTTGTGGCAGGACAGTGGCAGTGCAAGGATGCATCTCATGGAGAACTCAGCAGCACATGTACTCCACAAGCTGGTCAGAAAGTAGATAGTTGGATGGGAATGTGCTGGTACCAGACATTTCTAATGTGATCAGGTTGGGGAAGTTAAGGGAATCCACCAGCAACAAGGAGGATATTGTCTGGAGATGCAAGGAATACACACAGCATGGATCCCTCCAGCCACAGCAATTGTGTGGCCAATGTTGCTGGCAATGGTAGTGACTAATGTGGTAGCATTGAACTAAATGTGGCATATAAGCTCTCTGCAGCAATGAGAACACAGCCTCATCAGCATTTTGGAATGCAGCCTGGCCAGAACACAACCTTGAACAACTGTGAACACTGCTGAAGTATACATTACAGAAGATATTAGCCCCTTGCACATGTTCCAATTGGGGGTTGCACATTTCTGATACTGCTGGCAACATGAATCAAGGTCCAGATGACCAGCCAGTTTCACTAGTGGCATCTTTGAATGGGCAGTTTTCAAGCACCATGCCAGAGATGGTTCAATGGCACTGGCACATCATGGATCTCTGACTGTGAACCTGGTGGATAGCTTTATAGACTGCCAGCCCAAGAATGACATTGACATGATTGGGGCCATGGGGAGAAGAGTACACGAAAGACCCATTGATCAAGGGAATGCCCCTATTCATTTACCAGCATAGATTCTGATAAGGTAAAGCTACCAGCCCCAAAGTAAACTCATTATAGATGGTTGATAATATGTACAGAGGCTGTATATTCATTCCCGCATGTTCAACACCGACTCCACCCACACAACCTGTAAAGCAAGTTTAGATCAGGTAACAGCTTCCAGTGATGACATCCACTCCTGTGAATGTAAGATTAACTTGGAAAGATACAATAACTCTTGATCAATATCCTTCAAGCCTTCTGTGCACATCGTGTGTAGTGCAGCACATTTGGCAGTGGGTGATGGATGTGAATTAATAAGCAGTGGTAGCAAGATGCCACCATTCTGATACAACAGGTGAGTTGGAAGTGAGCAAAGGTGTGCCACCACTTACTGATACTCCTGCAAAAAATTCCATGGCTTCTGTAATTACGTTCCACAGAGGTCTCCTCTCATATCCCAATTCCACTTTGCTGCTGTCATTCTGCCACCATGCATGGGACATGGTAGTAGCCAGTTTGACATGGCACTCCTTAATCCTAGTCAGGCAGGGATTCAAGCTTCTGATGAAAGCTAAAATGTTGCAGGGACTCTGATCACCATTGTTCAGGTATGTTAACAGCCTGTTGGCTGTGAGTGGCACAATCAGGGTAATGGGATGGTGAGATGCTGTGCCCATCAGACACTCTATTGTACCCTGTACCACTATCAACCATTGCACCACCACAGGAACAGTGGCTTACCACTTCTGCCAGGAAATGTTGATACCAACTAGTGTGCCAGTATTCAGACCAATCCAGCTTCTTCATGGCAGTGACAAGGTGACAAAACCTTATTCCCAAGTACTGTATGGCCATGGAGAGTTTGGCCATGGTGAACGTTGATGACATGACTTACTGGCATGAAAGATGAGATGTCATACTATATAAGTGTTGGCCAACTTTCCCATGGCTTTGCATGGTGGCATGTGTCTGCCATTAAGGCAGCACTCATTAGCAAATGCTCAGCTCACATTCAACTACACCAACCAATATGCAATCCATAACCCTGGCATCATTTGGGAGATCTCAAAAATGATGTCATTGCAGATAGCTAGTGGTCTCTAGATGGAAATGGTTCACAGAAGACATGCTAATCTGCCATACATCTGGCATTGCTGTGTGGCATAGCATGCTGGCCCAGCCTGTCCCTTTGCCAATGTGGCAGCCTTTCTGCTGGTCCAAAATCTTACCTTGTTTTCAAAGAAGTTTTTAGTCCACTCCTGTTCACATTTCAACAGCTGAACCTCCTCCTTCCATCTGTCCCACAGTGCCCTCATCTGGAGCCAATTGACTCTGTAGACTAGAGAAAATGGTAAGTAAATCTCAGATGCTGCTGCCATGTGATTGCTCCTCTCACATTCTGACATCCAATCATTAGTGGCCATGTCCCTTGGTACATCCATTGTCCAGATCCATGGTAGGGTATTGTCTCTGTGACCTCTGGCATTTGGGTCAGATACTGCCATGCTGATAGTTAGGTCAGAGTTATTCAACTCTTTGTATCACTCCAGGATATCTGGCCCAGCCCCTAACCTGCTCATTTGAATGCAGCACTGGTGGCACATAGCAGCATGACATTGCACCACTGCTTCAGCATTGGCCACCCTTCCCCAGGCATGCATGGCCATGTGGTAGTTACTTCCATGGAAAATGTCAGTCCAAAAGATGACTGCCTTCTCTTCAAGCTCATTGGCCTGTCCTTGCCACAGTTGCAGCTCCATTATTGTCACATACCCCAGGCCAGATCATTCAAAATGATCTTTGCCAACATTGGATGGCAGCAGCAATGCAATGGTTTCTGGATCATGGGGATTAGATGACCAGGACAGCTTGGCATCCTCAAGTCTGTCCCCAAATAGTTTTTCAGCAGTGTTGAAAATGCTGTGTATATGGGACTGGAGATGATCATGGTGACATGCAATGGTGAGATTTTGAGCTTCTGTCACTCTTGAGGTGATGTGCCAGCATGCCACTGTAAGCTGGATTTGTGCTTCCTCTATCTTTAATGCCTTCACAATCTAGGTCACCATACCCTGTGAATGCCCTGGCTGGGGGATGGCCAGTAAATCTATCTTGATTGCCTTTGCAGAGGGAGCTTCAATACCACTCAGTGCAAATCCTGTCCAGGTTAACCTTCATTACCTACCTTTCTGCAGCCTGACCTCATATATATCCATGGCCTGTGGCCTTGACAGCCAGTTTCCCAATGCTGCTGCTGCTTCTTCCCCCCATGATTGGCTGATTGCTGGTGGGACATTACCATTCAAATCAGCAAACCTGCCTTCAACAACTAAATAAGATTCCTCAGCAACCTTGAGTTTCTGCTTGAGTCTCATTGCTGTAGCCTGTTAGCCATGCAACCATGTCTGATACAAGCACTAGACTTATGCATTCTGACCATTTTCAGGAAATTGCTATCATTCATTTGGAAATCAAGTACCTCCTGCTGATAGGGAGTAGCCATGCCTCTAGCAGATGGGGAAGTGATATTCAGGGAGGACCACAAGGTTTCCATGATCTCCCCATCCACCTGGCCAGCACCAACAATGAAATTTGGAGCATATCATGCAAAGCATTCTGTGCAGTGGCCATGAACATGCCACAACCCAATGCCAGGGCAGATCTGCATGCCATCTGGCATGGATATATAGGCATTGGCATGTAGCCATTGTCCTAAACCTTTGCTATACTGGCAGTTAATATCATAGAAATGTATCACTTGCTGGCCAGGGACTGTGCCATGCCTGACAGCATGTGCAAGCACATAGTCCATGTTAACCTGCCTGTGATGTCAATGCCAATATTGTCATACATTGTTACAAGGTTATTCATACTGTTCACCCTTCTGGAAGTTGACCATTGCATGTGGCACAAAACAGCCATGCCATGCACAGGCACATCCACCTATTCCTGTAGATGCGAGCTGCTGCCAGTTGGCATTTGCTTGATTAACTGCCTGATGATTGCTGCAATCTGAGATCTTGTAATGTGATCAGTCCATCAGGTAATACATTCCTATACATCACCCACCTCAACCACATTTTTAGTGCCACTCAAATATTCCTTGTATGGCTGTGATACAACCATGTACCCCTTTCCATCTATCAACCAGGCTTTGCTGCCAGCATCCTTTGGATGCATATGCTCTGCCTTTAAATTCCTATCCATGACCAAGCTTCTTGCCAGTGTCCAACTGGATTACACATTGTATAAATGGCTAGCAGTGTTCATGTTATCACTCACTGGGAATAATCTGTTTCATCTTCAGGAATGTTGATGCCAGGCTGAGGACATGCCAGACAGAATAACACTAATTCCCCAGGGCCAGCATCTTCTGCACTTGTGTGGGATCCCTGCCATTTCAGTAGTTTCAGGAGCCACCACATCCTAGCAACTCTCAGCAGTTCCCTGTACCTAGCCTATCATCCAGCTAAGAGTTGTGTTGCAGTGATACAATTCAACACATAGGATGCACTGGCACCAGATGAGGAAAGGCATTGGAGGTTATGTGGTGAAGTTTGCTGTAGAAATTCATTGCTGAGGTACCACATTCCACATTGTCCCAAACAAAGTCATTGAGTACTTGGAAGGTAAATGCAGTCCTTGTGGCCTTTGTGGTAGCAGGAAACATCCCAGCCTGCATCAGCTGTATGTGTGAATCCTCTGCCCCAGGGCATCTACAATACTGCACATTGCAGTAGTGTATTCCATTGGTGTGCATGACAATTAGACAGCTTTGGTTCTTTGGGGCCTGCAGATTTGGTGGACAACCATCTTGATCCACATCCTCCCAATCATCTTCCTCCTCAGTTGTGACTTCATCATTTGAACAACCACCAGCTGGGCAGTGCTTCCCACCATGCCCAACATGCAGTACCAAACCAGCCTGAATGGTAAATACAGGAACAACCCTCATGATTGAGCTGCTTACCAGCTGCAGGGATGATTCCTCAAAGAATGTTCCATTCCATTGTTCCACCCTGTGGAATGGCTGGTGCTTGTGTTCTGCCTGGCAACACATGGTGCAGAAGACCAGTCAATGGGCACACTCAGTGCACCAGAAAATGCCATCTGCTCCACACAGGATACAATCCCTTGGCTCAGGCGGGGCCTCCATGTCCAACAGGATGGCTAGATGATGCCATTGGTGCAGCAACCACTGCTGCAGATAACTATTCTACAATTGTGTGACACTGTCATTGCAGGTTTGTCAGGCAATGTGACATTCCACACACCTGACTTTTCTGAGGTTTAGAAGGTGTTGCAGGCAATACATCATTATTGCAAGGCAGTTGTACACCCTCATCATCCAACAGGCAGTCCAGGTGATCCAGGATAACAGAGCCAGGCCACACAGGAGGCTGAGTTGCATGGCATGGCACCTGCTTTCTGGGTGCTACTTTTACCATCTTATCCCTATATCCTTGGGTGGTTTTCACTCTTTTCCAGGTCAACTGGGTCACTCTTGCAGTGGGTCCTGCTGGTGCAATCTTTGACTTCCCCATGATGAATGTTGCAATGCAGAAGGGTTTTGATTGCAACAAATACATGCAGCTGACATGTGCTAGCAAGGTCTGACCACCAACTATGGTCATGCTGTCTTATGATCTGGCACATGAATTCATTGCTGGCACCTGCACATTGCTGAGAGATCAATCAAATGAATGAGCACTTGCAAAAAGCCTTGTCCTACATCATGCCCATAGTGACTATACCATCCACAGTGTCTCAATGCACATTGCCCAATTACCAAAGATCTTGGATCCATGAAGTCTGAGAGGCACTGCCTTTGCACATGGCTCAGGGATGGAAATCTCATGATTGACTAACAACCTTAGCCATCTTGGGAAACTGTCCAATCAACTGGCATGCAAGAATGGACTAGACACCAGAATGTAACCTTCATTGACATGAGAGAATGCTGGAAAAGTCTATTCTCTTCAACAGACATCATACTAGCTGTCCCAAGAAAATTTGCACAAAAGCACCTCCATCCTCAATGGCATCCAGTGACTATGAAAGTGACTCATTCTCCAACAACACCAAACCCTCCCCACCACAAAAGGGGACCAGTCTTCAGCCAGCTGAAATTGAAATTCTTGATGCTGAGCTAGAGTCATGGAAAAATGCCAACCAAAACAAGAAGAGCTCTATCATGTTAACCCTCAGAAACAAAATAAAAAACCTTGATGCCAATGTGATGCTGAAAATGCATGAATGGGTTTGGAAGAAGAAGGTGTGCCACACCTGCCATTGATTACCTGGCATATCCTTACCATTTCCAGGCAATTCAGACTTGGTTGTACAACTATGGCTGGAGCTGTAGTTGACAGGCTCTGATCAAATATGGTGGTGGTTGGACACTGAGGAAGGTGGTCATGCACTGTCAAAAGAAATCAATCAACAAAGTGTTGGAAAAAGCCAGGATCAAGCAGGGATCAGCAGAAATGATCAAGTCTTATCAGAAGGCCATTGACACTGTTATGAAGTCCCTTACTGCCAAGGAGATACAAGAGGCTGAGGCATTGGTCATAGAATGGAATGAGCAGCAGCCACCCTGGGATGTTCAATCAGAGTAGGTACCATTTGGCAATGCTGCCCATCACTCACAAGAAACAGAACCACAGAGAAGAAAGGCCATAAATATGCTGAGGAATTTGATAAGGAAATGTGGAAGCAGTGTGGGTCCAGGGTGGTAGTGATGGCAGCATGGGAAGATGCTGATGGAGAGGTGATAGTTGGAGTGTGAGGAATTTGTTCTTTGTTCAGATGAGTACTGCCAGATTTTGACCAACTTGTCCAGACATGACTTCAACAATGAATTGGGTAATGGCAAATTATTTGAGGAGTTGGACAAGTGCCAGGATAAATTTGCAAAGTATGCACAAATGGCATTTGGGAATGGCAGCACCAATGCTGAGTTGCCAGACAAAGATGCCACTCCATGGTCAAGGCAGAGAAAGAGCAATGGGAAACCTAAAACCATCCTGCCAGTCAGTGACAATGGCACACCATACATCCCAAACATATTGGACATGCAGGCACCAAAGTTGAAGGATATCATGTGGATGTTTGTGACATTTCACTATCATATGTATAACAATAGAAGAAATACTGTTCATTGACATGCATTACAGGGAAGGTCTGTGGGAATTCACAGGCAACTGTTCCATGGAGTGCAATAACAACCAACACTGCACTTTATGTTGCACCCCAGTTTCTGCCACCTGATGTTCCCTTCAAAGAGCTGAGCCAACTTACCCAGGATGGGTTGACAGCAATCTTGGAATGGTGGCAAGAGTGAAAAGAGCAGCATCCCAACAATATATTTGGCTTCGAGAAGTGGAGAGATGCTGGAGGGTCCCTCCAAATGCCAGTGGCAGAGGCCAACAGCAGTGGAGCATGGATGGGTGGGAAGCAGGATTTGGATGGGACCCCAGATCAGTTGGCAGATGAAAGGATGATGGATAGAATGATGCAGAGTAGGAGGAAGCAGTGACAGCAAACAGGTATGCAGGAATGCATCTGGAACTTAAATGTTCAGCAATATTATCTAATGGGGGACAAAGTTGTAGGGTCTGATTCTGATGATGAATCCAATCTCTGTCAATTATGACCAACATTGCTGCCAGATGGAAATGATGGTAGAGGAACAAGCATGGTGGATGAAGATGCTGCAGAGGCAGTAGCATCACTGGATTACCCACAGCAGATTGCCAGATGCCAAGTAGCTGAGGGCAACACCTGCCAGCCAATTGGTAAGCCAGTGGGATCACAACAGCTGAATGTTGTTAACATTAATGGCTAACATGTTTCAGCCATTGGCAAGGAACCACCAAATGCTGGGCAGCATGTTGTGGGCAGCAACACAAGCACTGCACAGCCTATGCCAGAAGGCCACCACACTGATTTGCCTGATTCTGTCCAGCTGGCAGATCCTTTGGTAGTGCCAACAACTATCAAGAGTGCCCATAAACAGGAAAACTCAAAGCACAAGTTCCCCATTCCATCAATGAGTCAGTACTCATGCCCCTGTCCCTGAATTGTTGATTAAATTTGTCCCTCAATTCTAGTACCCATGCACTGGACTGGCATAGACAATGTGAGGGGTATGTGGCATTCAAACTGGGTGCAGAAGGTACCAAAGTGGCCTGATGATGACTTTCCTACTCCTAGTCCCTCCAAGAAATGTAGGTGATGTTAGCATTTGTATTTTTCATGGCCATGGAATGTGATACTACTTGTTGACAACCAATAGCTACAATTACAATAAATCCTCATCCAGTTCCAATTCATCCTCACCATCCCAATCCCTGGTCATCAAATCTTGTATGTATTGCTGAGTCCTTGCCAGCTGTGCTCTCCTTGCAAGCAACAGGCAAAACTGGATGCTTGATTCCACCAATATATTGCTGTAGTGGTTGTAGGCCACAATGATTGGCCCATTGGTGGTGGTGTTAAGATGGGGTGGGTGCTCATCAGCCAGTCCCAAGAGAAGAACCACAAGCTGCCATACTTTTTCCACTGCTGGATGATTGATATATATGTGAGGGATATCATAAAACAACTTACATGTTGTAATTGGCCCTTTGTCATGAATTCCTTGTATACCCAAGTCACTGGTGAACTGTTGCAGCACTGAAAAGCATACTATTACACTTAATACTGGGGGGAACAAGAGATGACATGGAACTCACCACTGGCAGCATCAGTGGCTGTAGGCCATGGAGATGGTTGCCATGATGTAGCCAGGATGGCCTGTGGCTCAGAGGCTGCTGCATCATCTGACTGCTCATCCATCCATCCATGCTTAGGGGGAGATGGCACAGTTGGTGGAATTTGTGCAGATGCCAACAGCAATCTAGGTGGCAGTGAGACTGTCAGGGAAGATGTTGGAGAATCCCAACTGGGGCCAATGGCAGCCAAGGATGGCATGGAATGACTTGCTTGTCACACCTCCCACTGTTGATCAGCAGCAGATGGCTGCACCTCAGGTGAAAGTTGTGGGGAGTCCCAAGATGGTGCAAGCATGCTGAGTCATGGCTGGTGTGAGTCCAAGTGTGGTTCAGTGGTGAAAACCAACCAAAACCAACACAAAAGACAAAAAGAGCAAGTGGTGGTGTGCCTATACAGTACCTAGATGGTAGAACCTTTGATTTGGGTGGGTTTTTGTGAGCTACAACACTCAAAGATGAGTGCTGAGGGTTGGGGTGCTCCTGACAAAGAGGGAGCAAGAATGTGATAGAAAGTGATAGGGTAGACTGCTGTCAGCCTACAGAAGGATGGATGGTGACTTAATTCAATGTCCTAAGCTGCACTGAGCTCAGGGAGGGCTTGGAGCAAAGTATATTGATGATAGACAAGGATAAGTGAAGTAGATGATAGTTAGACCCTTAATAAAGTCTCAACTATTGAAACTGCTGAATGAATTACTGAGTGATGATAAAATGTGAGCAAGAGGGGCTCTCTGATGTCTTCTTCTTTTTTTGCTGTCTAAGTACAGTGATTTATATACAGTACAGGGGTGTTGCCCATGGAAAACAAGGTGCAAACACTTGGTAAGTGATTGGTAACTGATGAGTAAGGAATGTAAGTGATGGGTAATCATCTTGGAAAGCATTGGTAAGCATTGGTAAGGATCAGCAAGCCAAAAAGGTGAAGGATGAGTAAGCAAAGTCAAAAGATTGGTAAGTATTGGCAATAAGTGAGTCAAAGAC